CAGCCTTAGTTTTAAGTGCACATTTCAGTGGCGTTATGTTCATTCACAATGCTCTATAACCATCGCCACTATCCATTTCTAGAATTTTCTCACCTCACACAGACTCTGTCCCCATTAAACAGCAATTCTCCGCTGCCCTGCCCTGCCCCTGGTGCTGTTTTTCATTCTATCTCTGTGGATTCATCTGTTCTGAACATTTCAAATAACAGGCTCATGTAACGTTTGCCCCCACTCTGCCTTTTTTTTGATGGAGTCTCATTCTGTTGCCCAGGCTGGAGTGCAGTGGCATGATCTTGGCTCACCATAGCTCCACTTCCTGGGTTCAAGCGATTCTCCTGCTTCAGCCTTCTGAGTGGCTGGGACTACAGGCATGAGCCGCCATGTCTGGTTAATTTTTTATTTTTAGTAGAGATGGGGTTTTGCCATGTTGGCCAAGGTGGTCTCGAACTCTTGACCTCAGGTGATCTGCCTCCCTTGGCCTCCCAAAGTGCTGAGATTACAGGTGTGAGACACTGCTCAGCCAGCTTAGTGTTTTCAAGGTTCATCCACATTGTAACGTGTCAGAATGTGACTCTTTTTTAGGGCCGAGTGATATTTCATTGTATAAACTAAAAATAAAATCCTAAGTCCCACACCAACTGAAGGGACCTCCATTTGGCCAAGGGAACCCCAAAGAAAACCTTAAAACAGAGTTCCCAAACATGATGGGAAGGGAGTCGGGCAGCCTCCTTGTACCCCTCCCTCCTGGAGCTCAGGCGTAACGACCGCTCACATTCATGTTTAAAGTACAAATCAGGCCGGGCGCAGTGGCCCACGCCTGTAGTCCCAGCACTTTGGGAGGCTGAGTCGGGTGGATCATGAGGTCAGGAGATCAAGACCATCCTGGCTAACATGGTGAAACCCTGTCTCTACTAAAAATACAAAAATTAGCAGGGCGTGGTGGTGGGTGCCTGTAATCCCAGCTACTTGGGAGGCTGAGGCAGGAGAATCGTTTGAACCCGGGAGGCAGAGGCTGCAGTGAACCAAGATCACTCCACCGCACTCCAGTCTGGCGACAGACAAGACTCTCAAAAAAAATTTTTTTCCCATAGTCTCTGATCTTTCATGAACAATCGTATGGATGTTTTTTTCCCATAGTCTCTGATCTTTCGTGAACAATCGTATGGATGGACGGAAGTGTGTTTGCCCATTCGCCGGTTAGTGGACACGGTGGTTTCTGCCTTGGCTGTCGTGAAGCACGCTGCTGGGAATGTGGGTATGTGAGGATCTGTTCAGGTTCCTGTTCTTCATTCTTTTGAGTATGTTTTGCTGGAATTGCTGGGGCATGTGGTCATTCTCTGTTTAACTTTTTGTGAATCCCCAAGCTGTTCTCCACAGAGGCCGCACCCCTTACCTTCCCACCGGCAGACACGGGGGTTCCCGCCCTCCACATCCCCGTCAGGGCTTGTTATACTACTAATGTTTATTTTTTTTTATTTTTTGAGATGGATTCTCTGTCGCCCAGGCTAGAGTGCAGTGGTCTAATCTTGGCTCACCGCAACCTCCACCTCCCAGGTTCAAGCGATTCTCCTGCCTCAGCCTCCCAAGTAGCTGGGACTACAGGCGTGCACCACCATGCCCATCTAATTTTTGTATTTTTAATAGAGACAGGGTTTCTCCACGTTGAACCAGCTGGTCTCAAAATCCCGATCTCAGGTGATCTGCCTGCCTTGGCTTCCCAAAGTGCTGGGATTACAGGCGTGAGCCACTGAGCCTGGCCTAAATTTTTATTTATTTATTATTTTAAAATTTATTTATTTTTGAGACAGAGTCTCACTGTTGCCCAGGCTGGAGTGCAGTGGCGGGATCTCGGCTCACTGCAACCTCCACCCCCCGGGTTCAAGCGATTCTCCCATCTCAGCCTCCCGAGTAGCTGGGACTACAGGCATGTGCCACCATGCCCGGCTATTTTTTGTATATTTAGTAGACGGGGTTTCACCACGGTGGCAAAGCTGGTCTGAAACTCCTGACGACAGGTGATTCACCCGCCTCAGCCTCCCAAATTGCTGGGACTACAGGCGTGAGCCACTGCGCCTGGCCAAGTTTAACTTCTTCAGAAAGTGCTAAATGCAAGTGCCTGTATCGATTTTCACTCCCAGCAGCAGCTGGCGAGAGTTCTGGTTGCTCCACATCCTTGCCAACACTTGTCAGTGTCAGTCCTCTTAAATTTAGGCACTGTAGTGGGTGTGTGATGAGCCGGGTCTCACTGTGGATTTCTCACTGGGTCGAATCCGCATTTCCTTAATGAGTCATGTTGAGGGGGCGTGTGATGGGCAGCGTCTCGTTTTGGATCTCATTTGCATTTGATGAGTCATGATGATGAGCACTTTTTCACATGCGGGCTGATCATGTGGTGCGTGTTTTATGAGACGGGGTTTTCACCCAGGACGTGGTCACAGCACACTGTGGCCTCAAACTGGCCCCAAGCTCTTTTCCCACAGCAGCCTCCCAAGTAGATGGGACTACGGGCCTGCACCACCACGGCTGGTTAGTTTTAATTTTTTTTGCAGAGATGGGGTCCCACCGTGTCACCCAGGTTGGAGTGCAGTGGCATGGTTGTAGCTAACGGCAGCCTCAAACTCCTGGGCTCAAGTGATCCTCCCCCTTCAGCCTCCTAAAGTGCTGGGATTACAGGCTTGAGCCACCGTGCCCGGCCCCTATGTACGTTTTTAAATCATCTCATCAACTTCTTTCGAAAAGGCTGCTGGAATTGACTCCATCCCTGGGTCAGTGTGGGGGGAACTGGAGCCTTCACATTTGCCTTCCCGTTCCTGAGTGGGGCCTTGTACTCCACCGACTCATGCCTGCCCTGTTTTCTCTCAGCAGCTCTGTATCTTCACTGAGAAAGTCTCGAACATGTTTTAAGTTTATTTCTAAGTATTTTATTTTTTGAGCGATTGCAACTGGATTTTAAAATTTTACTTTCAGTTTTTTTGCTGCTAGTATATAAAGACATTTATTTTTCAGATATTTGCCTTGTAGTCGGTGACCTTGGCAAACTCGACAGCAGTTCTGGTATTTATGAACGTTATGTGTGAATAATCATGCCATCTGCAAATAAACAGAGTTTGGCGTCTTCCTTTCTGATGCTCCTTGTTTCTTATATTTTTCTTGTCTTATTGGAATGAATGCCAGTGACCAGTACAATTTTTTATTTTTTTATTTTTTGAGCTGGAGTCTCGCTCTGTCACCCAGGCTGGAGGGCAGCGGTGCCATGTCGGCTCACTGGAACCTGTGCCTCCTGGGTTCAAGTGATTCTCCTGCCTCAGCCTCTTGAGTAGCTGGGACTACAGGCATGTGCCACCACACCTACTAATTTTTTGTCTTTTTAGTAGAGACGGGTTTCACCTTGTTGGCTAGGATGGTCTCGATCTTCTGACCTCATGATCTGTCCACCTCAGCCTCCCAACGTGCTGGGATTACAGGCGTGAGCCACGGCATATGGCCTCATTTTTAAGTTCTTGATATAGTCTCACTATGTTGCCCAGGCTGGTCTCAAACTTGTGACCTCCCATGGTGCTAGTCGAAGGCTGAGTCCAGGCTGGCCACAGCACGTTTTCTTCATTGTTGGCAGCTGATTCTGCTGGTTCAGGGCTCAGCTAGGCACGTGGACTCCTCCACGGCTCCTGTTCAGTGCTCAGCTGGGTCTGTGGCCCCTCCTTGTCTCCTCCGGTTCAGGCCTCTGCTTGAGCTCCGGGCCCTGGGAATTCTGGGCTCCGTCCCTGGTTTCCTTTAGCTGGGAAAGTGGTGGGTTTCGTGGGAGTCCGGGCCGCTTCACAGCACCGCGGCAGACCTGCGGCTCCTCCAGGGCAAAGCTTCATGGACATGAAGGGGATGCCACTCCCAGCTGGTCCCCCCCTTTACCTGTCAGTCCCCTCCCCAGAACCCTTGGGTAACTGGTTTTCTACAGTTTGTTCCGGAATTTTTCAGCTGTTTTCTATAGGAGGGATTTTTTAAAAGGCCCTTCATCCCCTCTGGACATTTGTAAGTTGACACTGAACACCTGGCAACCTTGCTGAATTCTGTGTGCATGAGGGCTGGGTTCCACGGAGAACCATCATAGAAAACTCACTCCACGGAAAAGGATCAGAGACCACCCCTGAGCACACTCCCTTCAGCAAACAGAAACATTCGCAGGTGTTAATAGCCAGTCGACTTCCGAACTGGGAACAGGAGCTCACGGCATTCTGGGAGGGGCTTCAGGGGCAGGGAGGGGCTTCTGGCTTCAAGGCTACCCACCCAGGCTGTGGTCCCAGGTCAGGGGGAGCAGCTCTTCCCCAGCAGCCTGCAGCCAGCCTGGACTGGAGGGGAAAACGGCCCCACTTCACCAGGCCAGCGAGTGCCTGGGGGCAGGTCCGTTCCAGTTCCCCCGGGGGAAGGGGTAGGCGTGTACCTGGAGCTGGCCCTGGCCCTGGGTGGGAGCTGCCTCCCTGACCTGTGTCCTCAGCCCCGAGAGGGACGGCTCACAGCCTTGTGAGGTCCACACTGCACCGCCCTGGGTCAGGAACACGCTCCCAGGAGTCCTGTCCGGACTGTGTGGTTGCCGTCCTGAGCATGCTGACCTGGGACTGCCACCCCTCCCCCTCTGCCCCCGGTTTCACCACCCAAAAATCCAGAGAGGTGTGAAGCGTGGGCCCGGGGCCCCCACCCATGCCCACCGAGGGCAGCTTTGCCTTCCCGGCACCCCTTCTCCCCCAGGTGGGGGGCCTGGCCCACGCCCATCTGTGGCTCCTGCTCAGGGTCCCCACCCACACATTCCTGTGGGGTGAGGTGCAGCCGCCACTCCCATCTGCCCGGGGCAAAGCCGTCATTTGTTCCCCTTGAGGGCCTGGGAGGCTGCCAGACTCTCCACACCCACTTCCCAGTTGAGGAAACCGAGGCAGAGGAGGCTCAGGTGTGGCCAATCACCGTGCCGATCAGCGTTGCCCTGGTCAGGGCCCACGGAGATTCTGGGAGGGGCCGCTTGGGCGTGAGGGGATTCCCTCCCTACCCAGCTGCGCAGAAGCCCTCGGAGGCCTGGGGGGGCTGGGCTCCCCCTTTCCCACTGCCCTTTGGAGAACCACGTGGGCACTGGCCGGAGACCTGAAGGGGCCGTCCTCTTCGCCGTGGGTGCCACCAGTGCCACGCTCTCCTGTCTCTGCCTGGCTGGCCACTCCCACCTGCTGCGACTCGGACAGACGGCTGTGCACGGACCCACTGTGCCTCCTGCCCTGGGATCTGTAAGTAACAGCCTTGGAGCTTTTCCTGCTGTGGTGTGGGTGGAATCCTCGCCTGGAGGATTCCTCATCTGGAGAACCGGGGCTGCCCCAGGCCAGGCTATCTGCATGGAGCGATGGTCAGGCTTCAGAGGGACCCGATTTTACCCTGCAGGGCGCTCTCAGAATCCTTGGTTTGGAAGCCGCTCCCCCAAGGCCCCAGCCCCCTTGCAGGTGTGAAGGACTCGGATTCCAGAGCCCCCAGAGGCCCCACAGAGCAGGAAGGGCCAGGCTCCAGGGGAGCCCCCACCCCAGGTACTGAGGTCCTTGGGTCACCTGGGGCTGGGCTGGGGTGTGCCCAGGTCTCTTGTGATCTGATGGGCACATTTCCTGCCTGGCCTCATGCACCCCAAGGGCTGAGGGTCCCACCCCACTGCTCATTTTCTGGCTGGGGGAGTCTGGTTTTCTTTCACCTTGTCAAGGTGTTCATCCTCAGGGCCTCCCCACTTCCTCTGGGACCTGTGGGGAATAGAGGCTTGGGGACCCTGTGGCTCCCCATGACATTCCCCAGTGGCTGGGCTGACCAGGCAGGCTCTGCCCATGGATAGAGCAGCTGAGCGTGAGCATGTTACCCCATTTCTGAGCTGTGGGTGGACCCACAGGCCCGGGCCAGGGTTTTTGGGAGGCAGCTCTAATTTTCCCCAGCCACGCTGGCCTCCCTGAAAGGGGTGAGTGTCGAAGCTGGTTCCCTCTCCTGTGGGCCCCACCGGTACCCCAGGAGGACAGTTCTTGTCCAGGGAGGGTCTCCCTAGCCCCTTCCCTGCCCCACACTGGCCCACAGACCCCACCCTAGAGAGGACAAGGGATCCCCAGGCTGATCACATGCCCAGCCCCCCTCACCCGGGCTGCACCTCAGAGAGGCTGGGAGGGGGGCCCCACTGCTGGCAGGTGGGAAGGTGTGGTGTCCTCTGTCCCCACAGTGCCCCTCCTGCCTCAAGGGTGGTGTTTGCCTAGCAGGGCTCTGGGCATTCACAAAGCCCAGGCACCTGAAGCCGAGGGCAGGGGAGAGGGGAAGGAGGGGAGGGAGGGAAGGGAGCCTCGTCCAGGCAAGGGCGTCACTGAGTACAACCCATACCTGCGATTTCCTCTTCATGAGTGAGGAGGCTGATGCCAGCCTCTGGCTGCTTGCTCTAATCTCTCCCCACACTGCTCTGCCCTTCTGGGAGAGGGGATGGGTGTCAACTGAGGCCTGGGCTGTCTGGGCTGGGGACCAGGCTCTTAGACCCAGCCCTCTCCCAGGCAGGAGGAGCCAGTCAGGGCGGGGGCAGAGGGCTCTGCGGCTGGAGGGCAGGGCCAGGGCTTGGACACAAACTGCAGGTGCCATGGAGGTTTGCCCTGGGAGCCCCTGCTGGGCCCACGTGGCCCCAGGCTGGCCTGGGACAGAGGCATGGGGTGGGGACAGGCGGTGGGTGTCCCGTCCTGAGCCACTGCCTTCCACAGACACAGTCCATGGCCTTGCCAACGGCTCGACCCCTGTGGAGGTCCTGCGGGAGCCCTGCCCTTGGCAGCCTGCTGCTCCTGCTCCTCAGCCTCGGTGGGTATTCGGCGGCGCTGCTGGTGAACCGGGGGCCCTCGGCAAGGCTTGTCTGCCCCACCTTCTCCCTGAGGTGGGCAGGTGTCCTGAGTCCCAGCAGCTGTCTCTCCCCCGGTGGGGCTCAGGCCGCAGTGGGGATGTCGGGATGGACATCTGACCGGACAGCAGGCGGGTCCCAGGGGAGATGTGGAAGGCCGGGCTCCTGTGCCTGGGGACTGAAGTCCAGGGGCCTGAGCAGCTGGCCTCCACTGCTTTGGGGCATGCACAGGGCTGGCTCTGGGAGTGGCCAGGCTCTGCCTCCTTCCTCCCTTGGGTCGGGCACACCCCAGAGGCCTAGGCCCCCCTCCAAACTGTCCCCACTGCTCCTTCAGGATGGGTGCAGTGCTCGAAGGCTTGGGCCGGAGAGACAGGGCGGGTAAGATCACCTCTGGGGACATGGGACGGTCTTCAGGTTCCGGGGGGGTGCCTTGTGGTGTTCTGTCACCTCTGGGGACACAGGGAGGGTCTCAGGTCCCGGGGGGTGCCTTGCTGTGTTCTGTCACCTCTGGGGACACAGGGAGGGTCTCAGGTCCCGGGGGGTGCCTTGCTGTGTTCTGTCTGTCATGCATACGGGAACTAGTATCCACGGTGCCTGCCCATCTCAGAGGTCCCAACTTGCAAAGGGGCGCCTGGACCTGCACATGACTGGCCTGGGAGCAGCCCGGCCCGGGGAGTAGCAGAGCCCACATTGCAGCTGGGCGGAGGAAGTAGCTGGATCAGAAGTAGCCAATAGCCAAGCCCATGGGTCCGAGACACGCTGGGCCTGGGAAGTAGCTAAATTTAGGGAGTGCCTGGGACCAGGAGTGCGGGAGCCTGGGAACGTCTGCTCCAGGGAGCTGGGCGGAGCCACAGTCAGCAGGCCCTGTGCCCCCAGGAGGCTGCACCCCCGGACCGAGTCCTGGCCAACACGCCTAACATTGCCAGGTGGGTCTGGGGTCCTCACAGCCCTGGAGGACGAGGCTCAAGGGGCCCTGGGGACTGAGGGTGGGCTGGGTGCCCTGCCCCCCGTCTCCTGCCTCCCAGCATCCCCTCTCCCCACAGCATCCCC